AGCTCACCCACCTCAGTCCTAAAACCCAAAGGAATGAAATCCCCAGAAGCCTCCATAGTATCCTCTAATCTTTCTGCAGGAGCTTGGTCCAGCATCCCCACGCCTGTCATTCTGTCTTACAATGGACACCAAAACAAATGTATTGTTTCTCCACATGGAATGTGACATGTCTATTGCTCTACTTATACTTCTTCCTCTGGATATAAAGGGGTCTTTAATTTTTATTACATATTAAATTTGTGTGTGTGTGTGTGTGTGTGTGTGTGTGTTACATGCATGAGTGGTGGTCAGGGGACAACTTGCCGGGGGAGTCCAAGTTGGGTCTCTCCTTCTGCTGTGTGGGTCCATCACACTTGGCTGCACGTGCCATTACCAGCTGAGCCATCTCATCAGCTCTCTTTTATTTTAAACCACCAGATTATAGAGACTTTGAGCTCAAGTATGTGTGTGTGGGTGTTTGGGTGTGTGTATATTCATTGGCTCATTCTTAGTTAAGGATATGTTGTTGAAACCTGTTTTTGCTTTTTCCTTTGAGGCAAATGTCATGAGGTATTTCAGTACAGGGTGAAGCTAGAGTCCACTGGGAATGGTAGAGGATGCTTGCATTGAGTCTGAAAATCTCACACTAGAACGGTGGCTGTGGAAATGGAGAGTATGGGCAGAGCAGGTAGTGCAGAGATTGTGGTTTTTGGAGGCTGACCCAGGTTGGAATCCTGGCTGTGGCATGTAGAAGATGGAGTTTCAGCACTTACCACTGGGCCTCCTTGCAGGATTGTTCTATGGATCACAGCTGCTGTGAGTAAAGTACCCAGCTTAGTACCTGGCACTACGTAGGAAGCCAGCAGCCAGCAGAAAATGAAGTGCTAATGATCATGATGGTGTGGTCACCAGCTGTGGCTGCTCTCCTCCAGCTACAGCCACTCTCCTGCTCTCTTAGTTCCTCCAATCAGTCGTCTGGTCCAGACCCCAGGGCTGGTGAGGAGTCTGCGCCAGCCTCGCTGCATTCAGACATTCAGACGCAGGAGACCAGGTTCAGTGACACAGATCTGCTTTATTGCAGGAAGGTACAAGCTTATATAGGGGTAGTGGTCCAATCACAGCACAGCAAGTAGGATACCTTATTAGCATAACAGGTTTAGCATCCTATCACAGTACAGCAAGTAGGATACCTTGATTCCAAGGGTGGTGATTAGGGGGTGGCAAGCTCTAGGCATCAGTCTCATGATCTGCCAATGGGAGCAAAATGTCACAAGGCGTTCCTTGTGGCTCCAGTGGTTGGGTCGTTGCCTCAGGCCTGCTGTATGGCTGTCGATAAGATTTTCACCCTAGGCTCAAGCCTGTCTCCCACATGATGGAAGATCAGCAGGGATGGTGAGCTGAATACGTTGAAGAGAAGCATCCCTGGGGTTTTTGAGTTTAGCCACTTGAGGGTTTGGAGGACTTAGGTTGGATGGAGATCTGTTTTAGAGAGCTAGCACCAAGGTTAGCTTTAGACGTGAAGCAGCACTGAGATACCTAGGTGACTAGTAAAGACCAGAGGCAGAGAGGCTGGGGAGACGGCAAGGTAGATAAGAGTCCTGCTCTGTAAGCATTGAGGACCTGAGTTTGAATCCCCAGAACTCATGAAAAACTAGGTGTGGATGTGCGTGGCTGTACCCCCAGCATTGGGCGATAGAGACAGGTAGATCCCGAGAGCTCTCTAGCCAACCAGCCTGGCTGAAACGGTGAGCTTCTAGTTTACTGAGAGACCCTGCCTCATTGTAATACCACCCCCATCCAATGGTAAATTGTAACAAAAAGCTGATTTATTCTAGGGGTGTTTGATGAATGAGTTTGATTTTATATTTTCATCCTAAAGCCATTCTCTCATCACTAGCTCATCAACACAAGCATCCTCTAAATGAAACCCTGGCCCTTCAAAGTATGGTCCTCAGACCCGGTATCACCTAGAGTTTGTTAGAAGTGCAGAATCTTGCCTTCTAGCTGGACCTACTGGATTAGAATTTGCATTTCAATGGTGTGATAGGGGAAGCCTTTTCAAGTTTGAGAAGCTTATGCTAAAGTGTGATCCCTGGAACAGCAGCATGAGTATCCCCAGGGAATTTGTTAGACAGCCATAGTCCTGGGCCTCTTAGACTCCTAAGTCAGAAAGGTTGTGTTAACAAGACCTTCTGGTGAACCTGGTGCACCCCAAAGACCACTGTAAGCCATGAAGAAGACATGAAAAGATTGGGCTTTCCCTTCCTCATGTCTATAGCACAGAACACTTGAAAGGCCAGTTGACCCCTGGGAGCTAAACTCCAGTCATGCTATTTCCAGCATCATTTTGCACTAAACATGGCCGAAGAACTCTTTTTCACTGTGCATAAAATGACAAACAAAGGAAAGAAGCCTCGACTCTGGCTTGGTCCTTTATCTCGCCCACCAAAAGTTATGAGCATTGGGGCTGAAGAAATGGCTCAATGGTTAAGAGTACTTGCTGCTCTTGTAATTGACCTAGGTTTGATTCCCAGCACCCACGTAGAGTGGCTCACAGCTACCTGTAACTCCAGGACAGCTGGCTTCCTGGGACACCTACACAAATAAACACACAAAAGTAAAAGTAATAATAATAATTAATCTTTAAAAAAATATGAGCTGGGCATGGTGGCACACGCCTAATCCCAGCACTCAGGAGGCAGAGGCAGGTGGATCTCTGTGAGTTCAAGGCCAGCCTGGTCTACATAGTGAGTTCCAGGACAGCTGGGGCTACTGTACTGGGAGACCCTGTCTCAAAAAAGACCATATATATATATATATATATATATATATGAACTGTTAGCAATAAAAAATTTACCTCCTTTATAACCTGGCGTGGTGGCACAAGCCTTTAATTCCAGCACTTGGGAAGCAGAGGCAAGCAAATCTCTGTGAGATAGAGCTCAAAAAAGACCAAATATATATATATATATATATATGAACTGTTAGCAATAAAAAATTTACCTCCTTTATAACCTGGCGTGGTGGCACAAGCCTTTAATTCCAGCACTTGGGAAGCAGAGGCAAGCAAATCTCTGTGAGATAGAGTCCACCTGGTCTACATAGTGAGTTCCAGGCCACCTGTGGCTACAGAGAGACCCTGTCCCAAAAAGACCAAAAAAAAAAAAGAACCCCTCCTTTCATCAAAAATGTTCGGCTTTCCATTTGTTCAATAGTTGTTGAATAATGTGATAACGTAAATAAGAGTCACTATCTATTTTTGTATACCTGTAATATATAGAATGTTTATATATTGAGCATTTGATCCTAAAACCATGTTTTCTTCTATAGATGCTAGTACATTATAATCAGTGGCATGTGGATAAACCAGTGGGGTTTTTTGTTGTTGGGGAGCCTGGGGGGCTAATTTATAGTGGGCCAGTTTCTATAGTGCAAATTCACCCTCTTGGGCCGATTTCATGTTACTATCAGTTTAGCAACCAAAATTCTTACAAAGGTTAACACTTGACTTTCACAAGTGGGAATCAGCTCCGCACATGACTAAAACAACAAGGCACAAGACAGTTTGTAGTTATTGTTTGTTTGTATTTGAAATAATGTCTGAAACAAGATTTGGGTGTTTTAAATCTTGTGTACTATGGAGATGTTTATTAAAATTATAACTATTAAGCCAGCAAAATGGATCAGTGGGTGACGCACCTGCCACCAAGCCTGACCACTCGAGCTTGACCCCCAGGACCTACATGTGGAAGAACACCAACTCCTTCACGTTGTCTTCTGACTTCCATGAACGTACACACACATACACACAGATCCACAAATAAATGAATACATAAAATGTAATTTTTTTCATTAAAGTTATGAGGTCAGTGAGATAGTTTAGTGGGTAAAAATTCTTGCCACCAAACCTGATCGGAATTCAATCCTAAGGCTGACATAGTGGAAGGATAGAAGCAACTCCTCAGGTTGTCCCCCGACTTGCACACATGCACTGTGGTATGTGCATATATACACATACACAAAATAAATAAATGCAATGAAATTTTTAAAAGTTATAATTATAGGCCAGGTGTGGTGGTGCACACCTTTAATCCCAGCACTCGGGAGGCAACCACATGTGGATCTCTGTGAGTTCAAGGCCAGCCTGGTCTACAAAGTGAGTTCCATGTCAGCTGGGGCTACAGGGAGACCTTGTCTCCAAAAGACCAAAAAAAAAAAACTATAGTCAAAATGTGATTTGAAAATTATGTTATTTTAAAGTCATATTGAATGTAACTGTAACAACATATGATATTGAAAGGCTCATATTGATACAGTAGTGAGTTTGATTTTAAAATACTATCATGGTATAGGAAGGCATGTGTTAAAATTATTCTTAGTTAAGCCAGGCATGGTGGTGCATGCCTGTAGTCCCAGCACTTGGGAGGCAGAGGCAGGCGGAACTCTGAGAGTTCAAGGCCAGCCTGGTCTACATAGTGAGTTCCAGGACAGCTGGGGCTACAGGGAGACCCTGTCTCAAAAAGACCAAAAAAAAAAAAAAATTCTTAGTTTTGGTATTTGAACTCAAATGCATTGTTATGGTCATTGTTAATTATCAATGTGACAGAATCTGGAGTCACCTAGGAGAGAAGCCTCCAGGTATACCCTGTGAGGGATTATATTGATTAGGCTCTTTGACTGGGGAGACCCACCCAAAAAGTGGGTGGCACTATTCCCTGGGCAGGGGTCCTAGGTTGTATTAAAAGGAGAAAGTGAGCTGAGCACAAGCATCCATGTTCTCTGATTCTTGACTGTGGGTGCAGTTGACCAACTACCTCCAGCTCCTGCTGCTGTGACTTTTCCAACCATGATGAACTGTAGCCTTGAGCCTCAGGCCAAAACAAACCCTTCCTGCCTTAAGTTGCTTTTTTCAGGGTGTTTTATCACAGCAACAGGCAAAGTTACTAAGACATGCATATGAAAAATGACTGTCTGAGATGATGTTTTTGTTTACTAGTATTAAAATTTGACTTCTCTTACAGGTATTCAGGAAGGAACACAATGTACAAAATGTAAGAATAACTGGGCACTGAAGTTTTCTATCATATTATTATATATTTTGTGTGCCTTGCTAACCATCACAGTAGCCATTTTGGGATATAAAGGTAAGTACTCTTTCCTTTTTCCTTCCAAATAGCAGGGGAATTTGAAATGTACGCTTCACTTCTTAAGCATGCAAAAATTCATCTTTGCAAGTATGAAGTATGGCCAACCCCAGAATCCATTGGGAATTGGTTTTAGGACCCTTGTCCACTCCAAGGATATTATAATCTTCAGATGCTCAAGTCCCAGTATTTTCATATATAACTTACATTCTCCCATTTACTTCATGTCATTTCTAGGTGACTTACTCCTAATATCAGGGAAATGTTCTGTAGACAGTTGTTATACTCAATTACTTAGGGAATAATGACCAAAAAAATCTGTGCATGTTCAGTGCAAATGCATTTTTCCTAAACATTTTCAATCCAAAGTTGATTGAACCCACGGACCTGGAATCTGGGAAAGATAACTGTATTATATTACACCACTCAGGTATAAAACTTAGTAACCTCATGAGCTCCATCTCTGTGTCCTGAGCTACATGTAGCTATGGGTATACAAGGGAGGAAATAGCTGCTCCTTTAGATCCAATTATAACGATGGTCTTCTATGAGTTATAAAGGGTTGTTTTGCTTGGTTAGTTGTTTTTTTTTTTTTTGGTCTTTTTGAAGCAGGGTCTCGCTGTAGCCCCAGCTGTCCTGGAACTCACTATGTAGACCAGGCTGGCCTTGAACTCACAGAGATCCGCCTGCCTCTGCCTCCTGAGTGCTGGGACTACAGGTGTGCACCGGAACGCCCAGCCGTTGGTTAGTTTTTTGTTTATTTTCTCTCTTCTGTTGCTTTTTCCTACCTTTCCCAGCTACTCCCACTTCCTTCCTCTTTTTTTTTTTTTTTTTTTTTTTTTTTAAATTTTATCTCTCAAAGGCTCTGTGGAAATCCTGTAGCACACAGGAAAACTCTATTGACAAAGTAAAGCACAAAGTTGATTAACCAACTGATTCTCTCTCTTTTTTTTTTTTAATCTTTATAGTGCATTTACTGCAGTCACTATTACTTACATAGTTTCGTAAAAATCCTGCCCTATGGAAATTTAACACAAAGGCAGCTCTACTACCTCAGCTCTGCTTTATAAAACTTTAGGTTTGGTGCTGGAGAAATGGCTCAGTGGTTAAGAGTCCTGGCTGCTCTTGCAGAGGACCAAGGTTCAATTCCTAGCACTCACATTACAGCTAACAACTGTCAGTAACTTTAGTTCCAGGAGATCTGATGCCTTCTTCTGACCTCTGCAGGTATTGCACAACACAGATGCACCTATTTACATGCCAGCAATACATTCAAACACATAAAAAATAGTAAATAAAATATTTTTAAAAAACAAAGACTTTAGGCCTTTTGTGCCTATTTAAGGTAAAGGAAACTTTTGCCTGATTATTCCAGACTTATTAAACTAGAACCCCATCCCTCACCCATCACCTGATCCCCTCACAAAGACTATAGGCAGATTTACAATTCAGTCAGGAACTGCACAAACTTTTTTATAGAAAACAGCCATGGGACCCTTCCTGTCAGAGTCACATGAGACAGGCATGGTGTCTGGTTAGCACAGAGGCAGACCAGGGTCTATTGAACTTCAAACCATTCATTCTTTCAACAGCCACCTCAGCTTCCTTTGCACTCAGAACTAAACCAAGACTAAACCAACCTAGGACTGGAAAGAATAAATTCTCCCCTCTCCCACACCACTGTAATTCCTCCCACTGCTTCCTGGTGGGTAGTGGTTTAATGGGGGAATACAGTGCATTAGAATAAGAATGAACTTCAGAACAGATGTCTAAGTTCATCTTGATCCTACCCAGATTCTACCCATTTTCGTGTTAATTGTGTTTCCAGGCATCCTGCTATGTCCTCTCTATAGCTCTGTAGCCCAGGTGTGAATCACCAACTCAGAGATTCTGTCTGATTTTGTAGAACAATAACGATCTTGACACCTTTCAAGGTAGTTAAGATGAACAAAGATGATGGTCTACAGCCCATAGTACAACATGCATAGAGGCTGCAGTATCTCTGTTCCTTCTGTATTTATTCAGCACTAACCATCAGAATCTTGATGGAAAACAGTATCATACAGAGTGTGTCGATTGATGAATTTGAACAATGAGAATCTGGAAAATAACTAGCTCATTTTATCCATTTGTGATGAATTTAACTTGGAGATCCCCAAGTTTTCCTATGAAGGCGCAGAGGATGAAATTAAGAAAGGCTATTTGGGGCTGGAGAGATGGCCCTGTGGTTAAGAACACTGACTGTTCTTGCAGAAGACCTGGGTTTGGTTCCCAGCACCCACATGTTGGCTTACAACCTCTGTGACGGCAGTTTCAGGGCATCTGAGGTGGCCCTCTTCTGGCCTCCTCAGGCATTGCACAAACACCAGGTACACATAATATAGGCAAACAAAACACAAATTAAATGAATCTTAAGAAAAAGATTTACTATCAGAAGAGAGATCAGAGGGGGTAGTGAATACTTGTAATTTTTCCTCTTCTAGGAAAAAAGGCTAGGTTTTGTGACTTCAGGATTATACAGAAAGATACAAAGAAGATAGCTAGCTTCTTGCCACATCACAAACCCCCTCCCCCCATTGGAAGTCCCTCTAGCTTTGCCATAGTATTCATGTACTTGTTCATTGCCTGCAATCCTTGTAGTGTCTGTTCTACCTAAAGTGGCTCCTCCTGCCAGAAGCCCCTGAAAACTCAGTCATAGCTCAGCCCAGAGTAGAGCCTCCTGTTTGTTCCCATAGCATTTTCTTTACTCTTAGCTCCTGTTATACCAGATCATTATGGTTAGTATGTCTAGCTTAACACCCATCTCTCATCTAGTACACCAAGACTATCTTTTATTTACCAAGTCTCCCACTAGTACCTACATCATGGTGTTTATTTGTCAGGTACCCAGGAAAGTTAACTACATGTGTGGGTGGGTAGATGGATGAATGCATGCATGGATGGAGGGTAGATTGGGGCTGATTTCTATGGAGATAAGCAACGGATGTCCAGACACTCTAAGTCACTCTGTGTGTAGAGGATTGCTGCTCCTCAGAGCCCACCCAGACATCTAAACTTCTGGAGATCAGCTCGGCCTGCTCTGTGTCTGACCTTCCCAGGGTGAAGGGAGAGGAGATCTGGAGCGTCAGATGGCATCTTTCCCCTTTGCCTCCTCAGTGCCTCCATTCCTCAGGCCTCTGCTGACAAGAAGATGATAATACAATATGTACTTTTGGTCTCCAAAGCCAGCCTTAATGACCTCAAATGTTGATGTTTTCCACATGTACTTTCTCTTTCTTGCTGATAAGATCCTGGTGACCCCAACATTTTAAGAAGCAAAAAGATAAGCTCCAATTCTCTCTTCACATATCTCCCTTTGATGACTAGAAAAGCCCTTTCCATTTAATGATAGAAGGAAAATATGCAGTGAAGGAAGTCAAAGAAGGTGTTTCTCTGAAGAAGTTGAAAGGAAATTAAATTTCTGAGCAGGGTGGGGGAAGGCATTCTGCCCTGTTTTCCTCAAAATTCTTTGCATCTCTGTTTAGTCTCTTCTGTACCTACAATTTTTTCACCTAGAGAATTTGCTAAATAAGATAGAGAATTGCTTAGTCACCCACACAGCTGCGAGCCAGTAGCTGTGACCATGAGGCACAGGTTTTTGGACAGCTGCATTGCAGCTTGGTGCATCAACCTCCCTAACCTTTTTACCAATAGCCAATGAGCCTCCATGACAGGCATCATCTATTAAGTTTAGTAGATTATTGTTCCCTAAGCAGAAATCTTATTCCATTGCCCTGCCCAGCAGGCAGTCTTTCTTAATATGATTAGAATAAAGAAAGACCCAAATCTGAATCATCTCATCAGTCTTCCTAGTTGTGGTATGTTTGACACCTTGCCGCTAAGCTCTGTCAGCACAAGGACAACGGGAAAGGAGCTTTCAGTACGCAGACACATGAAATCACCCTGTAGCTCTGTGGAACCTGGGATAACACTCTACAGATTTTCTGTTTTTCTGTAATGAATTCTCAGGTAGTGTTGAGGGTAGAAATGCTTTTGGTGAATTCCAGGGGAGTATAACTGTGGGTACTGGGAAATTCTAGGAACCTCTGAGACAGAGCCTCTCTCTGTCTCTACACCGTGATCAGTCAGTGTGGTAGAAACACTTTCAGGCACAAGTAGGAGGTCTGTTCTTGTTCCCTGACCTCAAAGAGGGGCTGTGGTCTATGTCTCTTAAGCTCAAATGCTTAGCACTATGGCTGGTGTAAGATAAATATTCTTTGATAACTTTAAAGAAAATACAGTGGAAGTCTGGAAAGATGGCTCAGTGATTAAGAGCACTGACTGCTCTTTCAGAGGGCCCCGGGTTCAATTCCCAGCACCCACATGGTGGCTAGCAACCATCTGTGACTTCAGTTCCAGGAGATCCAACACCCTCTTCTGACCTCCATGGGTATTGTACAACATAGGTACTCCTACCTATATGCAGGCATTACACTCATACAAATAAAATAAAAATAATAATGAAGGCATGTTCTTTCCTGGTTGGGTATTTTTTTTTAACTAGAAGAAACCAGGTTGACAAAAGAAATATTCAATGAAAAGCTATGTAGAGTTGTAGAAGAAATGTGGGTTTTAGGGCTAGATCTTCCAGCTCGATACCTCATTTAGTCATAAGCTGTATGATTCTGAGATGTTCTTGGAAATATCTCTAATCTAGATTTCTTCCTCTTTAAAATAGGAACAATAAGAATTAACTGCAAGCCAGGTGTGGTGGTGCACACCTTTAATTCCAACACTGGGCGGCAGAGGCAGGTAGATCTCTGTGAGTTCAAGGCCAGCCTGGTCCACATAGTGAGTTCCAAGTTGGCTGGGGCTACAGGGAGACCCTGTCTCAAAAAGACAAAAAGAATTAACTATAGTCATGGCACAGTACATATGGTGTTAGACAGGGAATTTTTATTACTTTATATCCTAGAAGCAATAAACTATTATTATTGTTGTTCAAATAAAGGTTCAGTTGGTATGTTATAGAATAAATGAGAGACAAAGCTTACTGCAATGGGGCAGTAAGACCTAGGATGGAGCTTAAGAAATTTGAAGGTGGGAGGGGGAATGGGAGGTTAGTGGTCCAGGTCAAGGGATGATACCCAAGGGTGAAAGATAGTTTTATCAGATTATCCTAGTGGACTATGCTGTGGGCAGTGGAAGAGTGGTGACTCTTTAGGTATAAGTACCTGAAGCCCCACTATTCTAAAGAAAAATTCCACATTAGAAAATAATTCTCAATTGTGTAGACACTGTGGACAACTAGATTGTTCATAGCCCTTCTATGCTGCTTGTTCATTTTCCTCATGAAAGTCATCTAAAAACAGAGGTCTGTGTAGACTTGGAGTGTCTAGGATGAGACCAAAGGCTCTGCCACTATACCTCTGATTGAGAATTTGTGCTTTAATTAGGAGTAAAAACCAAGGAAAATGCTATTTGCTGGTGCAGCAGGACTGGGACTTTATGCACTAACAAGCCGCCAGTGTCTCAGCCCTGCAGTTTACAGTTTTATACCAGGGTACTGTTTTTAAACACACACACACACACACACACACACACACAGTGGTTCATGAACATGGGGCAGTTCATTCACAGTTGTACACAAGGCACGTCATTCCCTTGCTTCACAGAAGACAAAGATAACAGTTTCTTTAGTTCATTTTCATTGTTGTTGTTTTGTAGTGTTTTAATGAAAATATTATTCCTTTTACTCAAAGCACATTTGAACTATCTATCCATGACAGTTGGGTGTTTTTGTAAACTAAAATAGAAGAAAAAGTAGAGAAAGTAGAAAATGACTGTCAGCATATTTAAGGTTTCTTTGGCTTCAAGGAAAGAGAAACAGGATTTAAGATGTTGCTTTGAGAACAGTGAGACAATGAGGCATGTGTTTTAATTTGAAAATCAAAACTGAGTCTAAGCTTGTAAACACTGAATTTTTTAAAAATTTAGCTTTCTTAAAATATACAAAATACATTTTGTTCTACAAAAAGTCTTCATAGATTCAAGAGCATGCATGCCTTTCACACAACCCCAAGGGGAAGATTAGAACTAGACCTCTATGTCAGTGTGGAATTTTGTTTTTATTATGTGTATACATGAATGTGCGTCCAGGTGCCCATGGTGGCCAGAGAGGGAGTCAGATGCCCTGGAGCTAGAGTTCCTCTGGAAGAACAGGAAATGTTCTTAACCACTGAGCCATCTCTCTAGCCCATAGGTAGTAATTTTAAAACAGTAACTATTCAACAAATATCATACTGAGTCAGTGTGGAGGCCCTGGTTGGCTGGCTTGCATGTTTGCCTATATAACCTATATCTCAGCAGATTCTCATTTAAGTAAATGTTGTAATAACTTATTTGTTGAACACCACCAAGTGCCATGGGCCAAGCTAAAAGCTGGAGATAAGGTTACAGATAGTTTTCAACTTTATAATGATGTAAAAGCAATACATACTCAGTAGAAACTATGATTTAAAGTTTGTTCTTTTTCCTGGCTAGTGATAATGTATTATGTTCCTCTTTGGTGATGCTGGTCAACAGCTGGAGACACAGCTCTGCCACCCCTATGAGCCCAGGGGAAATGACTCACTCTACAGTGTGCTGGGTTGCTAAGCTAGGGTATTTGGTATATTATGGGTGTTAAATGCATCTTTAACCTATGATATTTTCAGCTTACAATGAGTTTATATGAATAATTCCATTATAAGTCAAGGAGCTCTGAAGGCTCTTGTAGTAAATAAGCCATGGCAACACAGTGTGGTGGGTCCTGGAATAAGGAATGGGCTAGAGAATTCTGTAAGATGCAGCTCAGCAGAGGTTTCCCACAGGCAATAGTGACCAAGCCCCCCCCCCCCAAAAAAAAAAAACAGGGAAGAATATTCTAGGTGCAAGATGAGCACATGGAAAGGCTCAAATGAGAAAGCACATTTGAGGCAGTGCACACATGTCATTGTGACCAGATTATAAATGCTTGAGGGAAAACAGTATGAACTACTTTCGGGACAGTTCCAGGATCCAAGGAGCCAGTTCATTTTAGGTCACACACACTCATGGGGCCTCTGGTTCCTGAGAGGAGCCAGGAGACTCTTCCCATACAGTCATGCATGGATAGAACATGTGATGAATAATAAAAACTGGGTCATGGAGCTCACAATTAGTATACAAAACATTCATGCTTTAAAAGTAATCTTTTGGGGCTGGAGAGATGGCTCAGCAGTTAAGAACACTGGCTGTTCTTGCAGAAGACCTGGGTTCGAATCCCAGCACCCACATGGCAGCTAACAACTGTCTGTAACTCCAGTTCCAGGCGATCCAACAGCCTCTTCTGTCCTCCACAGGCATTGCATGACATGGGTGCACTTACCTACATGCAGGCAATACACATATACACATAAAAATAATAAAATATTTTTAAAGTAATTTTTAAAAATAAATGGAATCTCATTGATAACTAAGACAGTTGTAACCTGAGTGTGTTGGTACATGTCTGTAATCCTAGCTGTTCTGGAAGCTGAGGTTGGGGTATTAACTTCCGGTTTTTTGACTTAGGATACTTTCAACTTCCAATGGGTTTATCAGATATAATGCCATAATAAGTTAAGGAGCTCTAAAGAATCTCGTAGTAAACAAGCTTTGACAACACTGTGGAGAGTCCTGGAATAAGAAAAAGGCTACTTTCCTAGAGAATTCTGCAAGATACAGTTTAGTTTGGGGCCAGACTGAGCAACATGGGAGATATCATTTCCTAGTTTGCTTTTTATTACTATAATAAAACACTCTAAAGAAAATCAACTTGAGGAGGAAAGGGTTTGTTTGACTTACATATCCTGATGACAGTTCATTATTGAGGGAAGCCTGGAGAGAAACTCAGGACAGGAACCTGGAAGGCAGAGACCATGGAGAAGCACTGTTTACCAGCTTGCTCCTCTGGCCTGTTTTCAGCCTGCTTTTTTTTTTTTATTTTAAATATTTTATTTATTATTTTCATTTTATGTGTATGCGTGTATTGCCTGTGTGTAGTTAAGTACGCCCATGTCATGCAATGCCCACGGAAGACAGAAGAGGCTATTGGATCCCCTGGAACTGGAGTTATAGACAGTTAGCTGACATGTGGGTGCTGGGATTCAAACCCAGGTCTTCTGCAAGAACAACCAGTGTTCTTATTCGCTGAGCCATCTCTCCAGCCCCAAGCTTGCTTTCTTTTACAACCCTGGGCTACCTTTCCAAGGGTGGTACCACTCATGTTGGGCTGGGCTCTCCCACATCACTCCACAATCAAGAAGAGGCCTCACAGACATGGCAATACAACCAATCGATAGAGGAAATTCCCTCTTCCCAATGTGTCAGGTTGACAATTGAAGCTATCCAGCACACACAGAAACACACACACATACACACACACACACACACACACACACACACACACACACACAAATGATAAGATGGACTTCTTGATTCCCAAGATGCTAGAGGATGGATCTCATGGGAGTCACTTCTGGAGAAATATCCTCTTATTAGTCATTTAGAAACAGCTTCTGAAGCTTCCAAGGCACTACAGAATCAAAACAACAACTAAGTGTATAGGATTTTTGCCAGGCATGGTGGCATACACCTTTAATCCCAGCAATGGGGAGGCAGAGGCCAGTGGATCTCTGTGAGATGGAGGCCAGCCTGGGATGGTCTACATAACCAGTTCCAGGTCTGCTGGGGCTACATAGTGAGACCAAGTCTCAAAACAACAAGCAAAAAAAAAGAATTTATTATTTTTGACCAAATCAATTATACCACTGGGGTTTTTGGACAAATTCTTTTTCTAAAGAGTAGCTTTCCCCCATATTTGATTTCAACTATACTTTTTGTTTCGAATCTGCTTTCTTCTACAGTGAAATTCTCTCTCGTCTTAGAACTGAAAAGTCAAACATGACTAGGTATGTGGACTAATGTGTTGTTTTTCCAAATCTTAGTTGTAGAGAAAATGGACAATGTCACAGGTGGAATGGAGACGTCTCGCCAGACCTACGATGACAAGCTCACAGCAGTGGAAAGTGATCTGAAAAAACTAGGTAACTGCAACAAGCATAATCCATTGAGTGGGGTCTCCTCCTGGGACTCTGTGTGAGTGATGACAGCTTTTCAGGAGATTCATGAACTCCTGTTCACCCAGAAGCACACTGTTGTTGCATGCTATACCTTTCTTTGTTATTTAACTCTAGTACTTTCATTTTTAAAGATAGGGGCTCTGACCCCAAAATTTTTAGGTGCCAAATAAAATCTGTAGATTGATCTTGACCCAAAAGAAGCGTAAGTACCCCTGTGAAAGGTTCCGTGTTCAACTGCTTAGTAAATTCCAATTTAAATATTTTAAACTGCACAAATTGTTAGGAGTTAACTTTCATGATAAAAGATTCTAGCCAGCCAGGCGTGGTGGTGCAGCACTCGGGAGGCAGATCCCAGCACTCGGGAGGGAGAGGCAGGCGGATCTCTGTGAGTTTGAGGCCAGCCTGGTCTCCATGGTG